TCGCCACTTCAGTTCATTTGTTTTATGTCCAAAGAGTTGGAATTCGTGTAAGGAAATCAGAAGTTGTAGAACAAACCGTTAGGGCACTTAAATGTCAAAAGGTTAAAAAATAAAGTCTCAAGGAAATTAAAATGACTATGTTTAACCATTTAAATGTATGGACATGCAAAAAAGGAAAATAATTGGGTCATATCCACTACTGAAATATTATTTATATTTTTTTCGTTTTTTTTAATCTTAATTCATTGTATGATTTTCACAAAATGCAAAAATTATCAGGTTATGTTCTCTTTAAAAAATATTTTTCAATTCAGCTGTTTGAATAAGAGAATATACACACATACATACATACATACATATTTATGTGTATGTATGTAGATATATGTATATATTTGTAGGTATGTATATATTTGTGTGTATATATACATATATATACACAAAGACATACAAAACATCATATACACCACATACACATTATATCCCACATATTACAATAAAACAATGTCACACAAGTCGATCATATATGTAAATAACGTACAACATAAAAGTGACACATAAAACATCTATATATACATATAATTAATACACAGAAATACATTATACACCTATCTTAAACCCACCTTGTTAGGAAATTTATGAATTCAGGAAATCGCAATTGGATTGTTGCCGATGGTGGTGCGTGGTGACGGCTGTCGACCTACGACCCGATGAGCTCACCGTTACGAGGTTATTCGCACCAGGAAACTATGGGGTGAGCTTCGCCACAAACTGCGTCGGAATTCCCCTCTCAACTTTTTTGGGTAAGTCAACAATTTTAATGTTTGACCGCCTCGATGTGCTTTCCATGTCAACGAGTTTATGCTTCATGGCTGTGTTGCATTCCACTAATTAACCTTCCTCCCAAGTCTTTAATCTGCATGGTGTGGTCAGTCGAGGCATTTTGTACATATTCCAATTTGTAAATTCAGAATGTTCGCCAACCTCTGTTCCTAATTTGGTGTTTTGGTTATTGAAGCCGAACATCTTTTACCGTCTTTCAGGTCGGCTGATTTTTATGATTTCAAAATGTACTGCAATGATAATCTTCTACTAACTTAGCAAGCATCAGAAGCTTTAAAAGTCAAAGTAAAGAGTTACAAATCTCCACTTTGAGCCAAATGGGATTCTTTATTGTACTGTGACATTTTTCATTTTTCAAAAAGTTTTCTAAATGCTCTCATTTTATAAGAAACATACAAGAAAAGATACATTTTTTAAAAATAATTTAACAAAATATTCTTCTTTTTTATTTTTATTTTTTGACCCAAAAGGATACGAAAAGTTCACATTTTGAGAGAAAGTTTTACCAAAAACATTTTTCTAAAATGTTCTCTAAATGCTCTAATTTTATGAAAAACATGAAGGAAAAGATAACATTTAAAAAAAAAATTTTACAAACATTTTCTTCAAATTGTTTTTTAGTTTTTGACCAAAAATGACAAAGTTCAAATATTGACGTAACATTTTATACAAAAGAATTCTAAAAATGTTCTCTAAAAGCCCTAATTTTATGAGAAACATGTAGTAAAACATAACATTTTTAAAAATACTTTTCCAAAACTTTTCATCAAAATTATTTAAGTTTTTGACCAAAAATGACATAAACATTTCACATTTAGATAAAAAGTTATAGTCCAAAAAATTTTCTAAAAATGTTCTCTAAATGCCCTAATTTTATGAGAAACATGCAAGTAAAGATAACATTTTTAAAAGTAATTTTCCAAAAACATTTTGTCAAAAGTTTTTCGTTTTTGACCAAAAATGACATAAAAAATTCACATTTAGATAAAAAATTATATTCCAAAAAAATTCTAAAAATGTTCTCTAAATGCCCTAATTTTATGAGAAACATGCA